GCTTTAAAACTATGAAAAATACTAAATCTCCACAAAACCCCCTCTGATAATTAATATAATCATATGCTCACCAGTGACTTCGAGAAGTATAACTAGGAGCTCTAGTGAGAAGCAGTGACCAGTGGAGTTCAAAACCACGTCTGTTGTGAGATAGGAACTCACTGAAGACAATTGGTGAATGGTTGCTCAACTTCGTGGATCAGTTGAAGTTAGACATTAACACCGTTGGATGCCAGCTCAGTGGTCTATCGGTTAAGGGCTTCGGCTCGTAACTGGTAGGTCCTGGGTTCGAATCTCGCGCGAGCGGGTTCGTGGATGCGCACTGCTGAGGAGTCCCATAATAGGACGAAACGGCCGTCCAGTGTTTCCAGGTTTTCCATGGTGGTCTAGCTTCAATTGATTCATGCTTTAAAACTATGAAAAATACTAAATCTCCACAAAACCCCCTCTGATAATTAATATAATCATATGCTCACCAGTGACTTCGAGAAGTATAACTAGGAGCTCTAGTGAGAAGCAGTGACCAGTGGAGTTCAAAACCACGTCTGTTGTGAGATAGGAACTCACTGAAGACAATTGGTGAATGGTTGCTCAACTTCGTGGATCAGTTGAAGTTAGACATTAACACCGTTGGATGCCAGCTCAGTGGTCTATCGGTTAAGGGCTTCGGCTCGTAACTGGTAGGTCCTGGGTTCGAATCTCGCGCGAGCGGGTTCGTGGATGCGCACTGCTGAGGAGTCCCATAATAGGACGAAACGGCCGTCCAGTGTTTCCAGGTTTTCCATGGTGGTCTAGCTTCAATTGATTCATGCTTTAAAACTATGAAAAATACTAAATCTCCACAAAACCCCCTCTGATAATTAATATAATCATATGCTCACCAGTGACTTCGAGAAGTATAACTAGGAGCTCTAGTGAGAAGCAGTGACCAGTGGAGTTCAAAACCACGTCTGTTGTGAGATAGGAACTCACTGAAGACAATTGGTGAATGGTTGCTCAACTTCGTGGATCAGTTGAAGTTAGACATTAACACCGTTGGATGCCAGCTCAGTGGTCTATCGGTTAAGGGCTTCGGCTCGTAACTGGTAGGTCCTGGGTTCGAATCTCACGCGAGCGGGTTCGTGGATGCGCACTGCTGAGGAGTCCCATAATAGGACGAAACGGCCGTCCAGTGTTTCCAGGTTTTCCATGGTGGTCTAGCTTCAATTGATTCATGCTTTAAAATTAATGGAATTGACTAATGATAAGGTAGATTACGTAATAATAATTAAATAGGGTTTGGAAAGTTAAGATGATTTAAGAGGATCAGGTGGTGGAAATGTGTGAATAAAATTTATTTTAAGAATTAGGCAATAGGGGGGGGGAGTGTAAAATTATCTTAGAATAAGTAAATGAATAAAATAACCAAAACACAAAACAAACAGAAACAAAAGGATTACCAGGGTAGTGATAAGTTTATTAAAGTCTCTTTTTGGATGCATAAGTCCGGTTTCAGTTTCTTAATTGCAATGGCTTCAGCAAAGCGGAGAGTGGCAGTGGTTCTTTGTCTATTGATAATTTTAAACGCGCACATAATATCGACGGTATGCCCGGTGTCAAGTAGATGCCGAGCTATTGCACTGTTAAAAGCTTTAGTCCCTCGCAGCGTCCAGTTCTTCGGAATATGCTCAGAAATGCTAACCTGTACTCTCCTCTCAGTTCTTCCAATGTATGTGCTACAGCACGTACATGTGGATTGGTAAATGCAGTTGGAGCAACAGAGGGGAGAGGACTTGTCGATTTTCGTTTGTTTCAGTGAACAGTATGTTTTCCATAGCGTAGTCACTTTGGCTGCCGGGTAGGTCACTTTTAAAGCGGAATTAATTCTGTGATTGATAATTCCGGCGACTTCATCTCCTTTGAAGCGTAAGGATAGGAAGCAGGTTTTCTTTTCAACTGTATCATGCTTAATCGGAGGGTTTGTATTAGCATATTTGTGGATGAATTTATCCGGATATGCATTTTCCCGTAGGCATTTGGTGATTGTAGTAATTTCTTCTTCGAGGCATTCTTTTGAGCAGATTTTTCGTGCGCGGTCAAAAAGGTTTCGCACAATACACTTTTTATAGCTCATTGGACAGAAGCTGTTAAAGTTGAGATAAACTCCGCTCCAAGTATTTTTGCGGTGAATGTGTCTTTGTAGTGTGCCGTCCGATGTTCTCCTAATTCCAATATCTAGGAAATGGAATTTATCATCAACTTCATGTTCCATGGTAAATTCTATATCTTTGTGTACTTTATTGAACAGACTTAGTAGGTACATGGAGTGTTGGTGGTTTTTGCAGACAAGGAACGTGTTATACATATATCTGCAGTAGAGTGTGGTACTGTCGATTGCGTGCTTCAGTTTCTTTTGTTCCAGATGTCTGACTGTTTACTGCTTGGCTAACATTTCTAAAGGTCATATTAGATTCGTTCAAAGGTCGTCCATAACTTATAGTCTTGCCGAAACTATTACTTTGGACTGGTATATGTTAATCTAGTTAATTATCTTCATGTGCTATTCATATTGAGATATCCTTACCTCTGCTTGTATCAATTACTAATAGATTGTGCCACCTAAACTTAAAAACTTATGTAAACACATAAATATTGGTACAAAGAGGCACCAGATATATATGCGCCGCACAAATCTCTCTTGATTTATGTAAAGACTGTGATACTGCTCAGGTGTCCAAACTGAAGCAGGTGGTTTTCATAGGGGGACCACACACGCAGCCTTTGACCTGCAGGTGTGATGCACAAGTCAGTGGAGCATCGTGAGGAGATGCAGTCCCATGGTAGCCAGTGATCAACGATTGATTCATACGCCATTTGTTCCCTCAGGATACTGGAGCCAGCCCATGTGCACCATTGGTTTGGAATCAGGGTTTTCCAACTCCATTAGATGGACCTTCGGTGTCCACCAACTCGGTTAAAGCACCAAACATTCACTTTTCGTTCTCTCAACTTCGTAAACAACAGTAATGCCACGTGAAGGCAGTGAGTAGGACTTGTCTGACAGAGGCTATATACGCGTGGCCATGTGAGAGCATTTCGAGAGAGAGAGAGAGCTGACTCTCCCCACTCTCAACGGTTCCAGGGTATTTGGGAAGGATGGCTAAAATAACTGTTTTCCTACACAGAGTTTAAACAAGAATATACTCTGATATAACGCATGGTTTACAATATTTTCCTCTCTTACAATTATATTACGTTAATACGTTTATAAAACCAATCACGTTATATCAGAACCAGGATTGGCGACCCAAAATAGAGAACCAGATTCACACTTCAGAATATTTTGTTCAGTATAACTACAAGTAGTCACATACATTGAGTCCAGAGTAGAATTTAATAATAAGAAGGAAAATCACTTATGTAATGATCTGTAGGCTGTGACTATTTGTCTACACTCAATGACCAATAATACTTTTCTTTCACTACTACACATCACACTTCAAGTCAAAAAGGCTACTCTAAAGTGTTATTCGACGTGTTCAATAAAATATATTTATCAAGCCATATTCATCTTTGAAACGAATATTTGACTGGTTTCTGATAGTCCTAAAGAAAGAAACCATTACATATTGTTCCAGTTCAATCAACATATCCAGAAATTTGTTTTTACCCCTTCTGAAGTGAAATCGTCAAAATCCCACCCTAGCAACTAAAACTGATTCGTAAACTTATGTACTATTCATCAAAAAGAGTTCAGAGTTTGTGTAGTTCTCCTTTGATATTTGAAATCTCAAAACACCATTTCATGCAATCTTTCCTATCATTCTATAGAATTATACAATCACTTACTATAAATACATTCGTTGTTTGTTTGAGAATGAATGCATATGAGTTTTGCTTAACCCGGTTACACTATTCAAAAAATTAACTCAGTGAGACATCCCAGCTGTATTAAAGCTGATCAAGACTTATCTGGTGAAGTTGATTGGATATTTGGAAATGGTTCCCGTTTCTCAAGGCTCACAAAAACACTACGTGGACGAGATTCTATAACAAAATCGTTGCCACTAGTTATTGATTCTCAAGCGTCTCACCATGGACGAGCATAGTCTATATGTATACCGGTAACACATAAGTATACTGACCTTGTAAGCAAATATACGTTACATGCACACTGGTATCACATAAGTTTTCCTTCACGCATCCCATAGCGAGCGTATAAATATATTCGCTCATTCGGGAGGATAGATCGTCATTGCTCCTTTTGAACACATTTGCTAAAGCTAACTGTTACTTATGCATTAAATGAACATTATTGGAACACAGAATATCATTTCTGCACTTCTTAATATATATATAAGCACAATCACAGTTTTCAGCTCACGTTCCTAGTGCCAACCTAGCCGCATTCCCTTTGGATAAACCTAAATACATAAACCGCACAAGCCATAACTCATGCAGTTCATATACATCAGCAATACACATTGAGCAGCTCACAAGATTTCCGAGAATCTCAGGATGTAACTCAACTACCCTGGTTTACAGCAGAGTGGTGGGTAATTCCGATCTCCTTGAAACGTCCATGCTGGTTAGAGAGGTTGCCCCTACTACCCAGCTCGCCACAGTGAGGCCTTGTATCGGATATCACTATAGTATTTTTGTCATAGGTTTCACTATTTAACACTAAATTATCTATCGTGAGCATATTAGGTAATGACGCTTTATAAGCTCATCTTTTATTACAGATGTTTAAGTTAACCGATTGATCTTAGAAATACAATTTTAACCGATATATCTGTTAGTTTGTCTTCAGGTTTCAAATCATAGAGAAATGAAGCTGCAGTTAAGATGTCACGGTTAATACTGAAAACACATTTACCGCATGTAAAATGCTTATGTCCTTCTAAACGACATCATCATCATGACGATGATGAAAGTTCCACGACCAAACCACCCAGCTCAGAGAACAAAACTCCATCAAAATGTATTTTAATGAATGGGTTAATACGAAATTGATTTACCTAAATAACTCTTCAATAATAAACATCGAACTATTAAAATAATATTGACGACCAAAGAAACAGCCAATATTCCAATCAAACTGAGTACCAATTCAGGTCGGGTCACTATAAATAGAACAATATGAGACAAAAGTATAAAATATTTCATCATAATCATTCATCTACTGTTAAATTAAAGTACAAAGTAAACATTATCTCAAACATAATTACTACTATTCAGCTTCCTAGTCAGCAGAAAGTATTTGATGATAAATATCCTTTCACTTAAGGTAACGCAGCATAAACTTACTTACTTACTTACTTGCTTACTCCTGTTACCCCTCGTGGAGCATAGGCCGCACACCAGAATTCTCCCCCTATACCTCTTCTACAGTTACTGCCAGTCCCAAGACCGGGTAAAGGAGGAGGTTTGGGCATGTGGTTAATGTCCCCATCCCGTAGAAACACTAACTCGCAAAATTATAAGCTCACGAGAAAAATTAACGCAGCATAAAAGCGATTTACAAATTCAAGTCATTATTCATAACAGTCAAAAAGTGGTGTTACAAAGAAGATCAGACAGAATAGTGAATTACATCCAATGAAGAACATTCTAAATACCGATTTGTTCAAATTCGGGCAATTAACTGAATTACTGAGTAACTTCAGTTTAAAGTTATGGGAGAACACCTGCTCGCATTCTACCATACACTGGTTCAGTGAGACAAGTATATATTTTTAATTTGAAATTTGTACTTTTGAATATGTCTTTAGAATAAGAGTTCACCTGACACAAGAGTCATTGAATACAACACTGTTAAAATGATATCGGAGGCTATTAGATCCATCTAATAATTAACTAGTACAATGGTGGATAAGAAAACATGTTTCTTTCTAACCTAGTCAGGAATTATTATGCGGTAGATTTTGCAAATACTGCAAAAGCGGAATAGCACTAATTCACCGTATTTTTAATACTTGTGTCTGATTTTAATTAGATCTATTTATTCAGCTATCAGAGGTTCTAAGTGGTCAAAGTACATGTCTGAAAGCAAAGATGGATAGTGGATAGCAGTGGAATCCAGGACGCGCGTTTCGTTCTATTTGGGACTCGTCAGCTGGGTGTACCTGCATCTCAGAGTTGATGTTCACTCTGAGATTCGTACTCATTACCGTTTCGCTTCAAACGCCATCGCATAATCCCCTCACCTACTCTATCTTTCAGTTTATGTTTTCTCGCGAGTAGCCAGTTGAGTCGTACGTAGAAAGATGGAGTATCTTACTCAACTCTCAAGGATTGGCAAAGCAAGAGCAGTGTTCCTACAACTGAAAAACATGTGGAATGCAAAATAACTGATAGATAAAATCAAAGTCAGAATCTTCAATATGAAATTCAAGGTAGTAGGGAGCTGAAACTTGGAAAACTACTACAAATACCAAAGAAAGTACATGTATTTATCAACAATTGTTTACACAAGACACTCAATGACCGTTAGTTGAATAACGTCAACAACAAACTACAGTAGGAGAAAGCAAACCAGCATTAGCCGAAGAGAAAAATAGGAAAAATCTTTGAATATGTTTAGGACATACATTGAGAAAATCGTGAAAATGCATTATGGGGAATTCTGGAGGTGAAAGGAAAAGATAAAGAACAAAGAACATATTGATCCAGGAATTAGTGATCGAAATCAAATGAATAAATAAAAATCGAAAACAACAGGAAATGACAGCTCAGGACTGAATTGGTTAGAGAAACGTGATTGGTGGCCTACACACCTCCACGAGGTGCAACAGCCGTAAGTAAGTAAGTAAGTAAGTAAGTAAGAAGTAGTCAAGTCTCAGATAACGTACTTCATGGCAATCTGAATTATAAAAGCTCAAAGGGATATATATATATAAATGGGGATCAAATGTAGAAAGTAACATCAGCCAAATTAAAGTTCTATGATTATTTGATGTATGAGTGAGGATGATAATGATCAGTTGTTTGCTGAGTCAGACAAGTAGATAATCTGATAGATTTTAAATGATTTATATATTCCCCAACCTTTATTATGACTGAATTGTTATTGGTTTTCGGTGTGGAAATATACTTACGTTCTAGTCAGGATAGTCACCTATTTTTGATATTAGTTTTCTTGAAGTCCTGTAGAATGGACACTGAGAGGGTATCTATTGTAGATATTCGTCTAAGATAAATTAACGTCTCATTCGTATAGACGGAATACTAAGCGTTATAACACTATCATTTCAGTTGGGCTACCACATTATTCATGTTAAAAATATTTTCATGAAATGAATTAGATCCTATTTAACACTTACGATCAAAATATTCCAACGTTACTTTTGTAATTCCTACAGAATCTCTTGCATTTCAAATCTATACAAAGTATTGTTCTGGTAGTTAAAATAGCTTCTCACAGAATTTACAGTTACATCCTAATCACTAGTTTTAATGAAACACATAGTAAAACTTAATCGTATCAGTGTTATCACTGGTGAACTCATGAAAACGATAGACAGCACCCTCTTTTTTTTCCAGTAAATTTTGAATATCAGGCTACAAGCTATTCCAGGAGCAGTGTCTTACTTGGACGATATCATAATCATTGGAGCAGACATCATGGACTTGCAGAAGACTATTGACCAGGTGATAGCACGCATATAAATATTGATTGAAAAATCTATGTTAACTTACATTTAAAATCAAGTAGACGTTGACTTTCTTGTTTCTGTGCCAAACGAAAATATTTTCTATCCAAAGTGTCATTTTTTAATTCCTCGGTTAAATTCATCAAATGACCTTTTTTGTAGAAAAAACAGTAAATATTTCATGAGATTTAAACAATTTGCCGTATAATTCACAAGTTAAGAGTTGAATTCATGAGTTAATTTAAGCTAGACCACCATGAGAAATCTGAAAGTACTGGACGGCCGTTTCTTTCTAGAGTGAGACTTCTCAGCAGTGCGCATACACGATCCCTACTGTGGGATTCGAACCCAGGACCTATCAGTTCCGCGCTCGAATGCTTAAGCTCTAGACTCATGAATTCAACGAATAAATTACTAAAATCTCAACATACTCCCCTCTGACAATTCACAATTTAATAATAATTTGTGAACAATTTATACTAATCTATTCGATTTGTCAATCCAAGTTTACTGATATATCGAATCATTTAGAAAAGTTTTTACAATATAAAGCCTAATCGCTACTAGAATATAGACAGTATGACATAATGAGAAATTAATGTAATTATACAGTGACCCTAATGAGTCCTTTTTAGTGTTTATGAATCGAACAGATGATACATTTACAAGCCACATATGAAGCAACAGTTGTAGCAAGATTTTGAATATCTAGTTCAAAAGCTTTCTTTCATTGCCTTTTAACTATCTAATATCAACACTATATTCATTTACAGAATGTATTTATTCCTAAACAAATTTCTAATTAAACGGATTTCCTACATATTTAAGTCATTTCTTCATTACTACAAATGAAGTTATCTTTGAGATAATCAAATGTTTACCATATATTCGCTCACAAATGCTCTGGTAAGGTCGAGAGTGCAGAGAGTCTGCTCTCCCTCTCGAAATGCTTTCACATGGCCACGCGTATATAGCCTCTGTCAGACAAGTCCTACTCACTGCCTTCACGTGGCATTACTGTTGTTTACGAAGTTGAGAGAACGAAAAGTGAATGTTTGGTGCTTTAACCGAGTTGGTGGACACCGAAGGTCCACCTAATGGAGTTGGAAAACCCTGATTCCAAACCAATGGTGCACATGGGCTGGCTCCAGTATCCTGAGGGAACAAATGGCGTATGAATAAATCGTTGATCACTGGCTACCATGGGACTGCATCTCCTCACGATGCTCCACTGACTTGTGCATCACACCTGCAGGTCAAAGGCTGCGTGTGTGGCCCCCCTATGAAAACTACCTGCTTCAGTTTAGGCACCCGGTCAGTATCACAACCCTCACACAAATCAAATGAGATTTGTGTGGCGCACATATATCTGGTGTCCCTTTGTACCATTGTTTATGTGTTTAAGTAAATAATATAAATAAACTATATATTCAATTAATTAGATTATGATTATCTTGTTTGTAAATTCAGAATTTCGATTTTGATGCCTGAAAATTTCCATTAAACTAATGAAACAAACAGTTTCTGAATGAAAATCAACAAGCTTAAAGATTTTTAAAATTTAGCTTTTATCATGCTTTTTGGTAGAAGTAATTGATCATGAAGATGTTATTTTTCACATTTATCTTCATGCATAATATCCCTAAACAGATAAATAAATATTGTTTGAAACTACTTTGTATTCGAGATTCCTCGAAAGTCCATTCATTAACGGGGGTTTCGTACTACATTCCTAAGTTATATTAAGTTTTCAGTTCTCGCTTATTTAGAGAACTTAACTATGAAAAAGCATAATAAGAGCTGTACAAATGATATAATAGAAGACATTTAATTCTTAAATGAATTACATTGTTAGTGGATGACGAAGAATGATCTCCAAATTACACAAAAGCTTTAGAAGAAAATCAGATATAAAATATGTTCTATTAATGAAGCTTACTTTGATGTATTGTCTCCATGTTAGCCATATTTAAATTGTTCAGATTTTTCCGGTTTTCAATCATTTCGTTCTTTGTTCTAGTTGGATTGGCGCTATTCAGTTTAGACTGACTTTTGGTATTTCGGTAAGACTGATTAATAATATCAGTTACATTTTGTATAAATGAGTTATTTTTAATCTGAGTATCATTATTACTGTTGGTAATATTGTTGTTACCAGTATCATTTATAATTGTTGGGATAGTTTCTGCAGCCTGTAATTCTAAGGATCTAACTGCTCGTTGTCCACGATATTCACAATTCCATAAACCAGTATGATCAAGTTCTTCCATATTAATAATATATTGATATTGGAATGTACTTGTATTGATTCGTTTAAATTGACATCCTTCAATAACTTGTGCTATACTACGTGGTATTGTACATCCATTTTCATTTAATAAACAATTTGGACTACAATCCATATAACAGATGGATGTTGAAAGCTGTAATACAAAAAGTTAAACTGATCAATTACAGGCTTAAGAATCAATGAGAAGATTCAAACAAACCACACCAAGTGAATTAAGGTTTGTTTGATATAACTCCACCATTCAGTTAGAAGTGTTCGAACTTTAGCATTGTAGAAAACATAAGAATTGGACCCTTACCTATTGTTACATATCATTTGCTCACTTTCTAAATATTCAGGCGTTTATAAAGTATCCTGATAATTTAGATTTAGATGTCGAGAAGTCAAATGTTTTCCTACGTTTAAATTATGATGAATAAATATTTATGAATTTAAATGTACATAAAATAGCATGCAGGTTAGAAAGATGAAAACACATGCGTCTTCTTGTTTCAGTGAAGGTACTTCAAAACACGTATGCCTTAGAGAAGAAAAGTACCATCACTTTTCAACAGGACGCTGCCTACCAGGTACAGGGAACAATGTAGACTGAATGTATTTGTACAAAGTTATCAGTAAAAAGTACAGTTCGGCGTTATTAAAACTCACAGAAGCCATACTTAGTTACTTACACCTGTTACAACTTCAGTAGCATAGGCTGTCAACTAGTATTCTTCATCCAAATCTATCTTAGGCAATCGTTTCCAGTTCTTTCTAGTCGCTATTCATTCTTTTGATATCTGCTTCCAATTCTCTGCGCACTGTGTTCTTCGGCCTTACTCTTTGCTGTTTCCTCTAAGGATTCCACGTTAGCATTTGCCTCGTAATGCAGTTTGGTGATTTTTGAAATGTATATCCTACCCATCATAAGCGTCCTTTTCTAATTTTCTCTTCAGATTAAATCTGGTTTGTTCTCTGTCATAGCAGGTTGTTGCTGATGGTATGCAGTCAACGGAACTTGAGTATCTTTCGTAGACAATTGTTGATAAATACTTGTAACGTTTCGACGACGTTTGTAATAGCTCCCCAAGTTTCAGCTGCATACAGTAGAACTATCTTAACATCCGTATTAGAGCATTTAAGCCATAGCAACTAGAAAACTGAAAACTAATCTTTTGTTTTTCAAAGATTACCATCATATTAAAAGATTAATATTTGAACGAAAAATATTCTTTTCGATAAATTCTCTTCACGTTCTACAATTCATATATCCAAATTAATAATCCGAATTAATGGCCAGGCCAAAGGAAAAGTACAGCGTTTAAAGCGAGTAAACTCATGATTGTCAAACCAAATAGAACCAAATAGACTTCAAGAGATATTTCCTGGAGTTCTAGTGAGAAGCAGTGACCAGTAGAGTCCAACCACGTCTGTTGTGAGATAACAACTCACTCAAGACAATTGGTGAACGGTTGCTCAATTTTCATGGATTGGTTGAAGATAGACATTAACACCATCAGATACCGGCCAGTTCAGTGGTCTAGTGGTTAAGCGCTCTGGTGTGGAACTGGTAGGTCCAAGGTTCGAATCTCGAGAGGTGGGATCGTGGTTGCGCACTACTGAGGAGTCCCACAATAGGACGAGTTGGCCGTCCAGTGCTTCGAGGTTTGCCCTGGTGGTCTAGCTTCAAATGAATCATGATTTTAACTATGAAAATACTTAAATTTCCACAAGACACCTTATGATTAAAATTTTTAATGTTGATATGACTCATATAGTATGTTAACTTGAATCTGTATATATGTTAAGTGAAAATTTCTAAGATCTGTAATCCGAATAAATATAGGTCAGATAGGGTGAGAGAGATATAATAGTGCAATTACAATTCAATCAAGTGAAAGACTAATTTGTGCGAAAACTTAGTAAGATGTAATAAGGAGGGATCCATGCGAATCTAATGAGTCATTTATAGGGAGATCAATCAGAGGGGGTTTGGTGGAGATTTCACTATTTTCATAGTACAAATCATGAGTCAATTGAAGCTAGACCACCAGGGAAAACCTCGAAGCACTGGACGGCCAACTCGTCCTATTGTGGGACTCCTCAGTAGTGCGCAACCACGATCCCACCTCTCGAGATTCAAACCCAGGACCCAGGAGATTAATAATGATGTTTAACCAATAACAATAATAATAATGCAAAGATTTGTAAATAAAGGTAAGAGAGACAATTACATTTGACTACGAATGGTCGTATAAGTACTTTCGCTTGTATCTACTTCAACTAATACATTTCTGTTTTAACGTCCATTGTGTTGTACAATCTTCAGAGCATCCATGGTCCCTTGATATGTCGATGGGGCAATCCACATAAAGTGCTGATTGTGAAGTGTAACTTCGAAGTTAGCTTGTTCGTTACACCGTTCCCGTCTAACCCCAGTAGGCCTCCAATCATTTGATGGTCTACAATATTATCGCACTAATGTCTGATTACATCTATCTTCTTGGAAAATACGAAGGTAACGTAGTAGTTTAATAAATAGCAACAAAAAAGAATAGTAACTTACCTGTGGACAAATTAAATACACCGTACTTGTAGGTTTCATTTCAATTACCGATTCATTAGTCATAGATTGAGTTTGATTGTTACTATGGTAATAATCATTCTCTTTTAAATTGATTTCACATGTAATTAAACCTTTTCTATCAGCACGTATCTTATAGAAAATATTCATAGTACTAGATATAGTAGAATCATAATTACTGTAGTCCACTAGACGTCTTAATCGACTTGGTATCATAGTGTTTACAATCAATTCATTGATATGTGATGATAATGTTGAATGAAAATTAATAAGGTTTAATAATTGAACAATGATAATTGTATAATACATGATGTAGTTTATGATAAATGAATCTATGAAAGGTTCCAAGGAATGTTAACATTCAATTCATTGATTTGATTGGAATTAAAGTACTTGATCATAGGAATTTTGTTCAATCTGTAAAAGAAAAATTGAAAAAATGAAAAGGGGGGGTATTTTTCATACTGTTAATAAAATATGGGAAGCAAAACTCGACTCATACGTTTTCGGCGTGTCTCCTTGATCATGGGATTATATCCATGACCTAACGTGAGCGGTAACCCGGGTAGTGGAGATCGGCTTCATCATCCACTCTACCTATACTCATAAATGATTACGATTGCTACAAAGAATCAATGCATAATTATTGTTGGTTCAAACAGAAAAGAAAGAATGAGTCTGCCCAAAAAGTAAAAAGAATGATGTAATGATTCTGTGTAAGCAATATAAAAACAGCTATTGATCCTCGGTAGTTGTGCCGTGCTTCGATGTAGCACTCTTCTCCAGAAGGGCCTACTAGGCTTCACCATGTTACGGTGGCTGTTAATAAAATATAAGATTTTTAATATTTATCAGTGATTTTAACAGTTGAGATCATGAATCAATTGATGCTAGACAACCATGGGAAACCTGGAAGTACTAGACGGTCGTTTCGACCTATTTTGGGACCCCTTAACAGTTATTACTATTGTTATTATATCCACAAAACCACTCTGATATTAATCAACATATGCTCACTATTGACTAGCTCCAAGAGTTATTTCCTGCAGTTCCAGTGAGAAACGGTGACAAGTGGAGTTTAACTGGGTCTGTTGGGAAATATCAACTCACTGAAGACAATGGTGGATGTGTCGCTCGATTTCGTGAATCGGTTGAAGTTAGATATTAACACCGTTGGATGCTGGACAGCTCAGTGGACTAGCGGTTAAGCGTTCGCGCGCGCAAATGATAGGTCCTGTGTTCGAATCTCGAGAGGTGGGATCGTGGATGCGCACTGCTCAGGAATCCCACAATAGGACGAGTTTGCCATCCAGTGCCTCCAGATTTTACTTGGTGGTCTAGCTTCAACTGATTCATGATCTCAACTGTTAAAATTACTATAATATCCACAAAACCCCTTCTCAATAATCAGTGATTTAAAATGATTGAAATAGAATGAAAAATAGTTAAAGTTACCAGAAGGGGTATTTGTGGAGATTTCAGTATTTTCATAGTTGAAATCATGAGTCAATTGAACCCAGACCACCATGGAAAACCTGGAAACACTGGACGGCCGTTTCGTCCTATTAAAGTTACATCATATTATCAATCGATATCAATAGGTAGGACTGTTTAATGCAAACCACACTGTACACTTGTAGATTATATAAAGTTGGTAACAAAACTGAGTAAGTGCTATTTTGTATCATTGAAGAACAGTGAATACATAATTGTTGTGTTGTACATTAAGCATAAATTTACAATTTTTGATCCCTTCCATATGTTCATATTGTTTTCTCCTACCATAAACGCTAACGACCAAATAGATTATTATAGCTCTTTATTAAACATACTACAACCAATGAATCTAAGTACAGATTATTGGATCTAATGAAAGTGATTTCAATGATGAACGAGTTTATTCTTGTAACATGTCAGAGAAAATATCGGAGTTTTGATAAGAAGCAATGAGGCAGTTAGTTACCTCAGATAATAGATGATTGTTACACAATGTCGAGAATTGATCAACATAGGACATATAAACCACTGAATGCCGGCTGAAAGATTTTAAGGTCAAGCTATTCCCAGGAGATTTTACGGTTTTAGGTTTAATCTCTGGTGAATTCAAGTATGCATTTCACTGGGGAGCTGCATACTGGGACGAAACAACTGTCCAGTTCTGTCTGTTATTCAATAGTTATCTAACCTAGATAGGTTCATTATCTCAGTATCATTGTTACAGTGTTATTCTACTTAATTTTATACATTACAGAATAAAATACAAGTCTAGGATTGATACAAATCTAGTTAGATTATTGATTTCAGTAACCAATAATGACTAGTGTTCATTGATTCCTTCAAATGTCAATGTTCTATTAAGTTAGTATTACTTACTAACAATAAGGTTGTGCCAGAAAAAAGAATACTAGTAGTATAATAAGTTTTAAAAAAATATGTGGAAACAAATGTTTTCCACGTTTATTTCATTATTAGATTAAAAGTGTACAAACACCATACTATGTTTATGACAGCTATAAAGTATAAATACTTTTCCACCACTATAATCTACTTTATGAAGGAATACAAAACGGTATAATCTTATCTTACTGAAATGAGCTACACTTTTCTTCAGAAATGGTATACAAATGATATTTATACATTATGACAAATAACAGTTTGTATTATAGGTATCATCATTAAAGTTTAACTTGATAACTTCAAATAAATTAGGTATTGGGTAGATTGTAAGCAAAGATGGATAGTGGATAGCAGTGGAAATCAGTTTGAGGCGCGTTTCGTCTTATTCGGGACTCATTAGCTGGATGTACCTGCATCTCAGAGTTGATGTTCACTCTGGGACTTGAATTCAGTAACTTTGGATTCAAACGCCATCGCGTTATCGAAAACGCGCGTCAAACTAGATTCCACTGCTAACCACTAACCATATTTGATACAATGCTTGTGACTTAAGGCTATATCGAGGCAATACGCATAGTATATACATATGCCAATTACAGACTGACTAATTGCAGTCCTAACACATCGATGGGAAGATTCAAACAAACAATACATTGGGTTGTTTGTTACAAATAAAAATAAAATATATTTTGTAATTTTTCGGCGTTTCGTGACTCAATGTAAGCCATTTCTTCAGAGAATAAATAACGAAATCAAAATTAACCTAAGATTAGATAGTACAATTGAACAAAGGAAGAATATTAGGTATGACCAGTTTTTGACTAATTGCACCTGATATTCTTACTTTGTTCCATTGTACTATCTAAACTTGGAATAATGTATTTTGGTTAGTTATTCTCTGAAGAAGTGGCTTACAATGAGTCACGAAACGTCAGAAAATTTAATGTTACTACCCATTAGAATATTATAAATATATTACTTTTTATTTGTAGTTCGTATTATGTGAAAATGATAAGAAGAAATTGGGTGAATACTGTCAAAGAGGTTATTGTAGTGAACGAGTACACAAGTGCGGACAATTGAATGTATTCAAACACACAATTACAGAACACCTTAATAAAATCTGAGAATCATACAGTAAATACTTCATTTGCAAAATGTCAATCAATCGTCTCAGACTTTACTGTTCCTTCATTTTCATTCCAATTATTCTTTGTTTTCATTCTCTTTCCGTCGATCTTCTTAACCTTTTTGCTGCCAGCTATTTCATTTCCGATTGATGATACATAACTATCAACATTAGTAGCACACACCAAATTATTAGTACCAAATTGAGAATCAGTATGTGTCGATAAATCATAATTTTTAAAAAAAGAGATTATATTTATGCAGTTAACCCAGCTGAATGTTTAAAAGCCTGATTTAGTAGGCCTCTCATAAGTTTAGATTCATTTCAGTAAAGCTGAGAGAAAACGGATATTCACAAACGAAATAAAATCCAAAGGGGGTTTTGTGGAGATTTTATTAATTTTATACAGTTGAGATCGTGATTCAGTTGAAGCTAGACCAGCATGGAGAACTTGGAAGCACTGGAAGGCCAACTCGTCCTATTGTGGAACTCCTTAGCAGTGCGCATCCACGATCCCACCTCTCGAGATTCGGACCCAGGACCTATCAGTTGCGCGCACGAGGACTTATCCTCTAGACCACTGAGCTGGCCGGCATCCAACGGCGTTAATGTCTAGCTTCAACTAATCCATGAAATCGAGCGACACATCCACTATTGTCTGCAGTGAGTTACTATCTCGCAACGGACCCGGCTGAACCGCACTGGTCACTGCTTACCACATTCGATTGTCCCCACTCATTTTCTTGTTCACTAAAATACAATGTAAATTTAAGATCTTAAAACTGTTATTATACTGCAAAATAAGACCAATTGATATGCCTAAAAAGAATACTATATCATTTCAGCCCTGAATGTTTGATTTTATTTGTAAAGTTTGTTTGAATCATCTTACCGTTGATGTCAAACATGGCAAGTGACCAGCCACTTTTGACATATGTGCATCGTACACGGATTGCCTCGATTATGTTATTAGGCTATTGATGTTTTAAGCAGTGTTGGAGACTGCCTAGCAGTGGAAACGTGGATGTGCGTTTTTTTCTGTTAAGGAGTCATCAGCTGGATGTATCTGTACCCTCTTGTTGATGTTAATACAGCAACAAAACCTGAGTTCAAGTCCTAATGTGCTCATATTCAGATTAACAAATAAATAACATACATTACTCAGTTTAATATTAGTCACTAATGCTTATCACGTTACCGATTTTGTTCTATCAGACATGTTCTTTAGTGAAATTATAAAAATGAATTATTGTAATTAAATTGTTAACACTGATTATCTCATTGAAAAAAGAGACAGATTGTATGCTACAGTTTTAAAAGTAAGATTGTTTACTGTGATCTAAGATGGCTTTGCAAAATTGAACCCATTAAACTAATCACTATAATTAAAAGGTGGTTGTGTAGATATTATAGTAATTTAATAGTCGAATCCATGTGTCAAATATAGTTCGACCACCAAGAAAAACTTCGAAACACTAGACGGCCGTTTCGTCCTAGTATGAGATTTTTCATTCGTGCTCATCCACGGTCTCGCCTAGCGAGATTCGAAACATGGACGGTGGAGCAGTTTCGTGAACTGGTTGAAGTTAGACATAACACTGTTGAGTGACAGCTCAGTAGTCTAGGAGTAAAGCGTTCGCGCGCGAGACCGATAGATTCTGTGTTTGGATCTCTCAAGCAAGGCCGTGGATGCGCACTGCTGAGGAGTCCCACAATAGGACGAGTTGGCTATCCAGTGCTTCCAGGTTTTCCATGTTGGTCTAGCTTCAGTTGACTCATGAATTCAACTATTAGTCACTATAAAAAATATTTTACTTACAACCATAACAAAAGCTACTTACAAATATTATACTGAACTAACCGAAAAGATAACTGTATCTTTGTCAAAACC